CACAAAAACATCAAAATTAGCACAGAAACAGTACTATATAACATTTTAGACACATTCTAGACAGTTTATCAGCTAAAAAAGTTCATTTTGGGGTAAGTTACTCTTTAAATAAAGTCGATGTTTCACAGCAGCTCCAGTCAGATTTGTCTCCAGGGTCCTGGTCCATCTAAGCTGGACTTTTTACTGCTGCGGCTCCGTCAGGTTGGAAGGTGCTTGTGTTCGACGGTCTTTAATTTAAAGTCCAGGCTCAACTGGACCATTCCAGAACTGTCTGCCCTTAGTGTGTTTAGATCAGGGTGGGTCCACAACGGGAGGCTGGGACCGCCAAGACTAGAAGAAAGTCTCTGTGAACTTGGACGGTCTAGCCTTGTCCGGCATACATCTGGTCACCTAGAGGTTCTCAAACTGCGGTCCCAGGACTCCCAGGGGTACGCGAGAGATATCTTGGGGGTCCTCAAAAAATTTAACTAAATTGTTGATTTGTTTTTTTAAACGCATGGAGAACAATAAACTAATAAAATAAACTTTGCAATATTTGTTTTATTTACGTAATGGCTTTAATTGCTGGATGTTTGGCCCCTCAGCTGTTGGCCTGCACTAACCGTGGCCCCCAGAGGAATTTAGCTGAACAGCCCTGGTGTATACTTGTGTAATCCTCACCTGTAACCAGGTAGCAGCACATTCCAAAATCGGAACCCTGCCCACAGCGACAGCCATGGAAACGAGTTTGCCCAACAGCACCATGCGACTTTCGTCCGCCTGGTTTCCTTGAATGTGAAAGAGGGCAGAGAACATGAGCTGACGGACCGTGTCCCGACTCTGCTCCTGGAAACAGCTGCACATGATCTCCAGCAGCTGGAGCTCCTGGAGAGCGCTCATCTTCTGTAAAAGAAACACACACGTCTCACTGCCCGTTCACCACTTCACTCTGCACAAGGCGCGTGGGTCCAGTCTCACCCTGGCTGGGGCGTTCCTGTCTTTGGGGGCATGCAGAATGAACTCCTCGACCAGCTCTAGGGTTTTGGCGTCGACCTGAGGGGGCTGCCTCCCGGACTGCACCAGGTTACAGATGTAGATGTCCAGGTGGTACAGCAGCTCTTTGGCAGCACTCAGGACATCCCGAGGCAACAAAGACTGACGGATATCACCCATCAGGACCTGACAGAAACACAGAAAACATTTCCTCACATGTTTAAATGTGATAGAATGAAAAGTAACTTTAATTAGCAGCTTTAGGTAACAAATAACTATTTAACCCCCCCCCCCCCAAAAAAAAAAAAAAAAACCCTTCACAGCCTGGTTTTGTAAACACTAGATACAAACAGCAGCTTAACGCTGACTGAGTCGGTTCTGAATCTGCAACTAAAGCTGTTAAAATTTAAAAAACAAATAGCGGCTAGTTTCAGCTTCTCACCTAAGCTCAGGTGTTTTAGCTACTATAACTGTAACATAAAAACATTAACAAACTTCTCTTACCGCTTTAAACGACCCTTAAATGACTAAAAACAAGCCAACAACAAGACCAAGCGGACACAGCAGAACAACTTCCGGGTTTACGGAAGCCTGCTCGGGACAAAACCCACCAACAGGCTCTTTAATTTTTACCTTGTATATTTTTTTTTACCTTGTATACATTGTATACTTTTCGGAATATTTTACAATTTTATTGTACTTCAGTAGTTTTTTTAAGGATTTGTAATTTTACTATTTTTATTGTAACTTTTACTTTTATTTCATTACATTCAAAACCTAGAGATTATATTTTACTTCTTAAACATCACTGTTATATAGGCTACTGAATGCATGATGAAAAATTGTTTATCCACTCCAAAACTAAAGTGTTGAATTTATTTAACCAAAGTAGGTCAACTGGTGCCACTAAAATGTAAACGCAAAACAATTTACATGTTTTCTTTCAAAGAAAATGTGCAAATTGCTGAATTTACTCAACTCAGTTTAATGAAAGCCAGTTGGTCAAGTAAATTCAACACTTCACTTCTTAGGTGAGCGGTTTTATGACTTTTATTTAAGAAAATTTTCTTATAAGTTAAATATATTTTTACTGAAGTCATTTTCTATTTTGATATCTTTACTTTTATTTAGTTATATATTTATAGACCTCTGTGGCAGTAGTTTCAGAACACTTTGAAACTGGTGCTTAGAAAGAACAGTAGAGCTGGTACAAGGGCCACAGCAAAAGGCAGGATTCATCATGGCAAAAAATGACGACTACTTTTGAACCAAGGAGGTTTTACCTATATATTTAAGTCTATGTATAGAACAACTTAAATATTAAATATATGTTCTATAGCAGTGGTTCCCAAACTTTTTATCTTCTGACCCACAAAATATTCATGGCAAAAACTTGTGACCCCAAATATTACTGGTCTGAGGACACCAACTTCGTTAATAACCCTAAAAACACAGACTTTTTGACAATCTAAACAACTTATACACAAATATAAATACTTATTTATACTTATTTTGTGTTTTTGTAATAGTTATAGAAAAAATATTACATCAGCAATTATTTTATTACC